TTGGAGACAGAAAAATAGCCTTGCTCCACAACGAGCTCCCACAAATAGCACTTCTCTCTAATCAAACAGCTCTCTAATTTAGAGGGAGTTTCCAGGCGGGCCTGTTTTCTGTCTTTCTTGGTTTGACTCACTCCGACAAGGCTTGCTCTGTTGTGTCAGAGACAAAATATAGCCCTGTTCCAACCTGAGATGTCAAATAACTTTTCTTGTAAGTTAATCATAAGGTGGACTTTCTTAGCCAAAAATTCCAACCAGTTCTGCTGGCTCAAGGGGAGAAACAAGATTCTGAGAGAGTGTCTACCCTATGTCAATGTGGTGATTCATTGTCTAAATGAGATCAAATTGTCAAAATATGAAATAAAATTAAATCTAGTGCAGTTTTACTGTTTCGAAGGAAAATTATGATGACAAAGCAGGTGTTTTCCAGCTTAAGAAATCCTTGAACATGATGTTACAAGTACATAAAAATGATGTTCCGGAAACTTACATTTTATATTAAAGAGTTAAAAAAATAAATCCAGCCAGGCGCGGTGGCTCATGCCTGTAATCCCAGCACTTTGGGAGGCCAAGGCGGGCGAATCACGAGGTCAGGAGATCGAGACCATCCTGGTTAACACAGTGAAACCCCGTCTCTACTAAAAATACAAAAAAAAAAAAAAAAATTAGCTGGGTGTGGTGGCGGGCGCCTGTAGTCCCAACTACATGGGAGGCTGAGGCAGGAGAATGGCGTGAACCTGGGGGGCGGAGCTTGCAGTGAGCCGAGATTGCACCACTGCACTCCAGCCTGGGCGACAGAGCGAGACTCCATCTCAAAAAAAAAAAAAAAAAAAAAAAAAAAAAAATTCCAAAAAGAGAATAGGAAGTGGAAATACTATTTGATTCTACACTGTGCAAGGTGCAGTTGGGGAGACTACCCAAGTTTTCAGGCAAAGGAAGAAAGGAAAACGTCAAAAGATTTTAGCAAAAACAAATTTAAAAACTGTGCATTGAACAAAAAGCCAGAATTCAAAGGGAATTGGGAAAACTATTTTCAATAAATATGTCCAAATGGTGTAAAAGTTGCTTGCAAACCTGTAAGGAAAGCTCAAGATCCTAAATCAAGAGTAGAAATCAAGAAAATCCTAAATCAAGATCCAAACAAACAAACAAACAAAAAATCTAAATCAAGAGAAGGAGCTATCCTTACATCATAAATGAGAAGACTCCTTAGACAAACATGGGAAGTGTTCATTCTCACTAGAAATCAGAGAAATGCAAATCAAAAAGGGATCAGCTTTTTCTTCATTAAATGAGTCATTTTTTAAAAATTGACAAATTGTGTTAAAGAGGGTGACGTAGGTATTCTCATTTGTTGAGTGGCATAGCTGTGGTGTAGTACTAACTTGTCAAAAATCATTTTGACAGTAAGTATTAAATAGCCTTGAAAATAGTCCTTTTCCATGACCTAGTAATTCCAGCTTTAGAAATTCAACCCCAAAATGAAAGTCTAAGAATAAAAAACCATTATGCACAAATACATTTTTAGCAGTGTCATTTCTATATTAAACTGAGAAAGAAATGAAATGTTTAGATGTTAGGGAAATGGCTAAGTAAACATCAGCTTATTTCCTCACTGGAATAGTATGAGACTATAACAATATGAAAAATTTAGATTAAGTAAAAATAAAAATACAAAATTATAATATGATTAAAAACACTATATATGAACAAGGAAGGGTTGAAAATTTGTATCTACACACAAAAAAACTGCACATGGGTGTTTATAGCAGCTTTATTAATAATTGCTAAAACTTAGAAGCAGCTGAGACGCCTTTCAGCAGGTGAATGCATAAACTGTGGTACATCCAGATGACAGAATATTACTCAGCGCCCAAAAGAAATGAGCTGTCAGGCTGGGAGCAGTGGCTCATGCCTGTAATCCCAGCACTTTGGGAGGCCAAGGCGGGTGGATCACCTGAGGTCAGGAGTTCGAGACTAGCCTGACCAACATGGTGAAACCCCATCTCTACTAAAAATACGAAAATTAGCTGGATGTGGTGGCAGGCACCTGTAATCCCAGGTACTTGGGAGGCTAAGGCAGGAGAATTGCTTGAACCTGGGAGGCGGAGGTTGCAGTGAGCTGAGATCATGCCATTGCACTCCAGCCTGGGTGACAGAGAGAAACTATCACCAAAAAAAAAAAAAAAAAAAAAAAAAAAAAAAAAAAAAGAAAGAAAATGAGCTGTCAGTCCATGAGAAGACATGGAGGAAGGGTAATTGCATATTGCTAAGTGAAAGAGGTCAATCTGAAAAGGCTGTATAGTGTATCATTCCAATTCTATGATATCCTGGAAAAGACAAAACTGTGGAGACATTGAAAGATGGCTGGTTGCCAAGGGTGAGGGTGGTGGGAGGGATGAGTAGGCAGAGCACAGAGGATACTTAGGGAGCGAAACTACTCTGTATGATGCTATGACGCTGGGTTCATGCCAGTATAAATTTGTCCAAACCCATAGAATATGCTGTACATCAAGAGTGAACCCTAAGGTGACCTGTGGACTTTTGAGGGATACTGATGTCTAATGTAGATTCCTTAGTTGTAGCAAATGCACTACTGTAGTACAGGATGTTGATCATGGGAGAGGCTGTGCATGTGTGGGGGTAGGGCTATATGGGAAATCTATCTTCCACTCAATGTTTCTGTGAATGAAAACTTATTTAAAAGCAAAAGCAAGGAAGAGGAAAAAGAGTGAAAATATTTATGAAGGTTGTGTTTTGGTTATGACAGTCTTATTTTCTTTGGTTTCCATGCCTGTAATTACCCCTTTTAAACATGAGCACGCATTATTTTATATTGGAAATAAGAAAATAGGCATTTCAAGAGTTTATAAAACTACAGAATGAAGCTGAACATGTGGTTGTATATGTAAACAGTTCTGAGAATTTCGGATCCCTTGTTTGCTTTCGTTGGTCAAAGTTTTGTAAATTCACATTCTTTTTGGCTATTTGTGCATTTACACAATTGACCCTATACTCTAAAACTATGACCAGTTAGAATCTCCGTTCCCAATAAAAATAAGGCATCTTTGGGGAATCTCAGTGGGAATTGTATTCTTGGAATTTTTCCCACAACGTGTGATTCAATTTTTATTTATTTTTAAATATCTAGGACTATTATTAGAATAGCCTATCTCTTATTACCCGTGTGTATATTTATTTGCATTTAATTATAAACATATCCAGTAATGATTCTCCTTGTCCTGTCTCACATCTGTTTAGTTCCTTAGCACCCCCATTCTAGGGAACCACTATTTTTTAAGTTCTTGTGAATATTTCTGGAGCTTCTTTAAGCTTGTGTAAGCAAATACTAATATATATTCTTATTTCCCCTTATTTTTATGTAGAAGTGGCACATTTTATACCTTGTCCAACACCTAGCTTTTCCACTGAACAATGCATCTTTCCTTATCAGGACACATGTAGCTTCTTCGTCTTTATACAGATGACCCCATGCACGGATTCACCATAATCTACTCAACTAGTCCCCTGCTGATGGAAGATAGGCTGTTTCTAATCCATTGCTATTATAAACAGTGCTGTAATGACTGATCTTATGCACCCAACATTTCCTACATGTGCAAGGATATCCATAGAATGAATTCCTGGAAATGAAATTGCCAGGTCAGAGTCTAAGCGCCTGTAATTTTGATAGATGTTACGAAATCGTTCTCCATCGGGAAGGGTCACACTGCTGCCAGCGATATTTTTGAGTGCCAGATTCCCTGCACCCTTACCAAGACTGCTTTGCCTCACATTTGACTGCAGGCATTTTGATTTGGGGGGGGGGGGGGAGAAGTCAATGTATTTTTACTGGAATTCCTCTCTCCTGAGGGAGCTTTAGCATGTTTTCCTGTGTACATGAGTCTTTCCTTATGTGTAAAAACTGCCTGTTTCCCCCCTTCTTTTATTTTGTTGATTGGGTCATATTTTTATGGATTTCTAGAAATTCTGTTTGTATTAGGGAGATAGCCTGTCTTGAGACCTGGACTTACCTAGCTGGGACATGTACCTGAGGATAAGAGATTATAAAAGGTACTTCCCTCTGGATTACTAGAGTGAATAGGAAGCATTTGAAAGAAGATGAATGGTCATTCAAGAAAGTTTGTGAACTCCAGCCCATGAGTAGCACCGAGAACAAGTTTCATATCGGAGCATTGTATGTTTGCAGCTTTCCTATTTGCTGCTTACTAACAGTGTCACTTAGAGCAATCATGTAGCCTATTTAAGCCTTGTCCTCCTTACCTGTAATGTAAAAGGCTTATCTTCCCGTTCCTTTGGGTTATGGCTAACACATATTAAGAAGCTGATACTGCAGTAATCACACAGGGTCAAGGTAGTTGGAAACACTCCCAGCACTCCTCAAGGTGAGCTCCCTTCACCTGTCCTAAAGGTAAAGGTGCAGCAGGAGAAGAAAGCTCCGGCAGTCGCAGGGGACCCCAGACACGTCCAGGTGCAGTTCCCCAGAACACTTTCTCAGTTGCTGGGGAGATGTTTGCCTTTGGATTATGAACCACAGAGATGTGTGCAAGGAACTTTGGTTTTAGGGAGCTCAAGCAGAAGCTTCTAGTGGCATAAATAATACCCCACTGGTGATGGAACCAAGCCAACCTATGTAATCAGTTAAACCAGGTGTCAGCCTTCAACCCATGCATCCCTAGGCAATGTACACAAGCTAGCCCTGGGTCCCTCCAAGGAATTTGGAACTGTAAACAGCACATTCATTATAAATCACCAACTGGCTCAACTCATCCTTGTTATCTTGGCCAAAGATCAGTGCCAGACTTCCAGACCTCCCTGGAGATGAGCACAGAATGCTTCTAGTCTACCCATATGATAACCTTACCTTACACAGGTACACAGGGAGCACTCAGAAACTATTGGAAGCTATTGTGGGGTTTTTTTCCCTTTCTCTTTTGCAACAAATCTGCCTTTGGTTTCACTGGAAACTTTTTCTTCTACAGCTCAGGGGAGACTGTCACTAGCGTGACCAGCTTGGCCCCACTACAGCCCAAGAAGGGCAAAAGGCAGAAGGAGAAGCCTGACATTCCTCCTGCAGTCCCTGCCAAAGGTAAGGAGCTGGCCTGCAGTTTTTTACCTGGAAACTATCATTATTGATCCATGTGGGTCTGGGCTTCCATGTTGGATTATGACAGGGAGCATAGGCAGATGGGGAATATAACATGACATTTAATGATTGTATAGTCTGGACCCCCACCTAGATTCTGGGCATAACTGGTGCTCAACCACCTCAGCCCTTAACCCAGTACTTGGGTTGGGGGTGGAGGTGGAGGAGGAAGCAAGGGCCTAGCATAGCTTTAGCAGGGGGAAGATCAACATCCACAGATGATTCCAGATTGTGTTTCACTTTGAACTATTAACATGTACCACACATGAGGTGGGGTGGTGGGGTGGGATGAGGAAGTCTTCTTGGTTCACTCAAGGGAAGAAAGGCTCTCTGAATTTTTAAAGATATCAACCAGGTGTGCAATTTATTTCACATTTGCCCTGGGTATAAAATGAGGGCTATCCTGTGATTCCAGTTATGATTTAGAGCAATGTAAGTGAGGAAGATAGGTGTTTCTGGAAGAAAGAACTGCAAGAGTATTAGGAGAACCAAGACTGATTATAGATAGTTCCTAAAATAACTGGTCAATTTAGGAGATATTTATACCTCACCAAATTTGAAATATAGTTGGGGGAATACAAGGGTTGCCCAAATGAACAATTCTATCCCTCAACTGTGACTTTGCAGGCTGTCCCCTAGGGACACATCAAGCTCTGTGGGGAGGCCAGTGGTGGTGAGGCTGAGCACACATGGAGTGGAAAGAGGGCTGGAGGGTGTGGTCGTACTGCAGGGGAATGAAAAGCATGGACCTGGGAGGGAAGGGAGTAGAGAATGCCTGCCTGGGCCAGGCATCATACCGCTTGATGTAATTCATTCCACAGTAGCTATTATCCACCCTTACAAAAGTTGAAAGTGAGACTTAGGTAAGTGGTAGAGCCTTACTTTCAATGCCAAGTTCAAATCCTAAATGGTTCAAGACTAGTGACTTGACACAGTGGGAAGGGCCTCACTTTCTTTTTCTGTCAAGTGGGGACAATAAGACCCTCCCTGATGACCTCACAGGGCTGCTATGAGGATCAAGAGTCACTGTGATCAGCGCTAGTGTGTGGCTAGGACGGAGTCTCCCAGGGAAGGTCCCGGCTTCAGGCTTCACTGGGTGCATCTGGTTCTCACCTGCACACCTGACATCCATGTGGCTGGCAGAGTTTTATCCAGACTTCTTTTGTTAACCTGGCTGAGTGAGATGACGACATGTTCAAAGACTAGGGGAGGATCACCCCCACTGAGGGGAACCTGCTGACACCTAGATCTGAAAGTTCTTCCATGGGACCAGGAAGGGGTCTGAGACCTCTCAGAATATGTCCCTGATGCTCATGATGTGTGGCCACTAAGTATTCTGGGAGGAACCGCAAGCTAAACCCTTGACCTACTTCCACAGCTCCGATAGCCCCCACGTTCCATAAACCGAAGTTGCTGAAACCACAGAGAAAAGTCACCCTGGTAAGTAACCATCTTCTGTATTCCTTGTGTAAGCCTCAGACACAATTCAGATTCCAAAACGGTGCCTTTATTAACTGAAAACATGCAGAAAGTTTTAGAAACTTTTGTCCCCAAACAAAAGCATTCTCTCTTCTCGGGTGTCAGCTTTTGAGTCAGCCTTTCTCCATACTTAGTTCCCAGAGTAACTCTTTAAAAATCCAAATATTTTCTATTATAAATGCTCTGTTTCAAAAGGGAGAAAAGCCATATTCAGAAATGTATAAAATAGAAAGTGGACCTGCTTGCACACATTTACCTGATAATTACTCCAAAGAGACTGCTGCACATGTTTTCCATAAAATATGCCTTAGCTTTTGATTTTGAACAATTTTAGATTGATGGAAAAGTTATAAAGCTAGCACAGAGAGGTCCCATGTACCTTCATCCACCTTCTCTTAGTGTTGGCTTCTTACATAGCCATGGTACATGTATCAAACTAAGAAATTAACATTGGTTCATTGCTATTAACTACACTTCGGACTTAACCAGATTTTGGTCCACCTGCTAATGTTCCTTTTCCGGTGTAGGATCCAAATCCAGGATCTCACATTGCATTTAGTTGTTACATCTCCTTGCTTTCCAACAATCCAAGACAGCTCTGCAGGCTGTCTTTTTCTTTCATGGCCTTGACACTTTTGAAGAGTAGTGGCCAGTGATTTTTTAGAATGTCCCTCAATTTGGTACTCTCTGAGGTTTTCTGAGCATCAGAAATGGGGTGTATTAGTCAGTTCTCACACTGCTATAAAGATACTACCTAAGACTGGGTAATTTGTAAACAGGTTTATAAAAAGGTTTCATTGACTCACAGTTCCTCATGGCTGGGGAGTCCTCAGGAAGCTTACAGTCATAGTGGAAGGGGAAGCAGGCACATCTTACATGGAGGCAGATAAGAGAGGGTGTGTGTGAGCACAGGAAAAACTACCATTTATAAAACCATCACATTTCATGATAATTCACTCACTTGTCATGAGAACAGCAGGGAGGAAACCACCCCCTAACCCAATCACTTCCGTCCCTTGACACGTGGGGTTTACAATTCGAGATAAGATTTGGGTGAGGACACAGAGCCAAACTATATCATGGGGTTACGGATTTTGGGGACAAACAGCACAGAGGTGGAGCTCCCTTCTCATTGCATGGTGTCAGGGTGCATGACATCAATATATCTTGCTAATGGTGATCCCCATCTCAATCACTTGGTTAAGGTGGTGTCTGCCAGGTTTCTTTACTATGAAGTTACTATTTTCTCCCTTCCAGACTCTATTTGTTAGAGGCCAGTCCCTGAGTCCAGTTCACATTCAAGGTGAGGAGAGTTAAGCTCCACCTTAAGGGAGACGTGTCATGAATTTGTGGATATGTTAAATCCACCACAGTAATTCATAAGAATCTTAGGGGAGATATGTTAAGGCTTGCAAATATCTTGTTTTTCCTTGAACTTTTGTCCACTAATTTTGCATTCATCAGTGGATTTTGCTTGCAGCAGATTTTACTATGGTGCGCTAAGGGTGATTTTCTATTTCCCTTAATCTTTCTAGATGTATTATTTGGAATTCTTCTATAAGGAAGAGTGGCCCCCTTTTCTCATTTGTTTATTATTCAGTAATTCCTTGATATCAGTATGGATGCGTGGATATTTATTTTTTAGTTTTTAACTACATTATTATTTATTTTGTTGTTAATATTGTTCAGCAGTTAGTTGTGTGTGTGTGCATGAGAGAGAGAGAGAGACTGTCAAAGCTATGCTAAAGTGTGTATGTACTGCAAAGGGCCAAGACAATCTTGAGAGGGGAGTGCAAGGTGGAGGATTTATATGCCAATTCTCGAGATCTACATTAAAGCAAGTGTTAGTAATACAATGGGGTATTAACACAAGGGCAGACAAGTAGACAAAGGAACAGAATAAAGAGCTCCAAACACAACTGCATAGGATTGTCATTTGATTTATGACAACAGTGACACTGCAGTGCATTGAAAAAGATATTATCTTTTCAATGTATGGTGACGTGTTTGTTGGATATCCATACGAAAAAAAGATCTATAGCCCCTACTCTACACCACACACAAAAGTTAACAGGAGATGGATCATACACATAAGTATGAAAGGTACAAACAAAGTAAGGCTTCCTGAAGATAGCATTTCTTCCTAATTTCAGAGTAAACAAAGATGTTTTTAAACAAGACACATAAAGCACCAACCATAAAGGAATGGATAAAGAAATCTGGGATATATTAACATTTAGAACTTCTGTTCTGATTAATGATACCGCTAAAATAATGAAAAGGCAAGCTGCAGATTGGGAGAACATATCTCTATGCATATATCTGCCAAAGGTTTCCCTCCCTCTCTCCCTCCTTTCTTTTCTTTTCTCTAATTTTCCTTCCTTCCTTCCTTCCTTCCTTCCTTCCTTCCTTCCTTCCTTCCTTCCTTCCTTCCTCCCTCCCTCCCTCCCTCCCTCCCTCTCTCTTTCTTTCTTTCTCTCTTTCTCCCTCTCTCTCCTTCCTTCCTTCTTTTCTTGTCATTAATTTTCTTTTATTTTCTTTTCTTTCTTCTTTCTTGTTCTGTCACCCAAGCTGGAGTGCAGTGGTGCCACCTCGGCTCACTGTGGCCTCCACCTCCTGGGTTCAAGTGATTCTTGTGCCTCAGCCTCTCAAGTAGCTGGGATTGCAGGTGCATGCCACTATGCTAGGCTAGTTTTTGTATTTTTAGTATAGTTAGGGTTTCACCATGCTGTCCAGGCTGGTTTCAAACTCATGGCCTCAAGTGTTCCTCCCACCTCGGCCTCCAAAAGTGTTGGGTTTGCAGGCATGAGCCACTGCACCTGGCTGACCTGACAAAGGTTTCTTATCTAGAACACATGAACACCTACCAATCAATAAGAAATAAAAAGACAGCACTACCAAAAAATGGGCAGAAGGTTTAAATGTGCGCTTGACAAAAGAAGATATACAAATAGCCAGTAAACTCATAAAAAGTCCGTAACCTCATAGGCATCATGACAGTGCGATTTAAAAGCATAAAGCCAGTTCACATCCACCAAGATAGTTAAAATGAAGTACTTGTGCAGTTTCTTTTTTGCCTGTATTTCTCTGATCCATTTGGAGTTTAGAAATGGATCCAATTTTATCTGTTTGTCAGACTCTTTTTTATTTTACCTTATGACTTCTATTTCAACAATCATTATTTGCTAATTTCATCACCATATTCTAAACAATTATATGAACTTATTTATTCCTCTTTTTTTGAGTCCAGTGTCTTTCCCTTCATGACCTTTACTTGCCTTTCCATTTGAGCAATTTGTCTGTGAATGGAATTCTAGATTCATAAACTTTTTCCACTAGGTGCAGAGAAGTAGGATAAGCACTTCATAATGCATTTCTCTGAACTTCCTGTATTGCTGAACATAAATGCCAAACTCATGACTGTCACCTATAATTCCCCATATTATTCGAGCCACATAGGTAATTTAAGCTTTCTAGTAGCCACATTAAAGGAGTGAAAAGTAACAAATGAAACAGATTTTAATGATACAGTTTATTTAACTTAACATATCAAAAATATTATCATTTAGTCATGTAATCAATATGGCAATTACTAATTACATATTTTCTATTATTTTTATTGTGCTAAGTCTTCAGAATCCAGTGTCTATTTGACACTTACTGCACATCTTAATTCACAGGCACAGTTCCAGTGCTTAGTAAACACATTTGGCTAGTGGCTACCACATTGGACAGTGCATCCCAGAATGATCTAGCCCCCACTGCTTCTTTGACGTAATTTTTACTACCATCCCTCTCTCTTGTTTCCCTTCAGCCACACTGGCCTCCTTGCTAATCCTTAAATATACCAAACATGCTCCTGTGTCAGGGCCCATGTACCCACTCTCCCCTTTTCCTGGAACGTCCTCCCCAGGATCTGCCCATGGCTTATTCCTCACCCCCTGTGATCTCTGATCAAACATCATGTAATGAAGGAGCTGTCCTGATAGCCTAAATAAAACACCACCCACCTTGACATATTTTGTGTTTATATCTATAAATCATCCATCTCTTCTACCAGGCTACAAGATCCAGGAAGGCAGGGAGCTTGCCTACTCTGGTTCCTGCTGTATTCTTCATGTTTAGAAATGTGTTTAGAGCAATTGATATTTGTTTATGATTCTGCACACCAGCCCTGTTGAGTAGGTTCTGTAATATTACATCCATAGTGGGGTGCATGAGCCTCTGAGAGTCAGTAAAGTGAGAGATGGGTGACTTATCCAAGGTCACACGGCTGTGGGTTGCAGTCAGGGCTTAATCTGAAGTCTAAGGTTTTCACCAGCACATTGGAAGCTTTGCCTCAGTGCGGAATCTGGGCCTGGCTGCTCTCTATGCGTGATCCTGAATGCCTGTGTGGCTCAGCCTTGCTCCTGTCCTTGCTGTTCTGTGCTTCACCTGCTTTTTAAAGAGAGTCTTCTTTTGCCTGCAGTGAACTGTGGGTTCTAGTAGACTTTTCATATAGTGGGTTCCATTTGGTTCGTGTTATGAAAAAATCCTCATCAATTCTACTCTGTTGACTGTACCATATGGTTTTTAAATGCAGCAGCAAGCCTTTTGGCTTATTGACCATTGGCACTCAGTGGGCTTTTGGGAACTGTGGAGCATAAAGGCTAAAACAATCAATTTCCCTTGGCCTTGGAGCATCCCGGTTCTCACCTCTGACATTCAGTCTCCTGCAGATAGACAGGCTAAGTTCACTGTCCTCTAGACTGTGTGCAGCACTGCACATCTGGGTGTGTGTGTTTGTTTACGTAGCTCTTTTAGATCTTTTCTTTCTAATTCTGATATTTAACAACTACCTCAAGAGTGACTACAGAGTGACTACACTTAATTTCCCCACCTTATGTTCTCTCTAAGTTGCTCAGGACTTATTGTTTCTAATCCAGTCCCTTACCCCTGCTAATAACAGAAACAACTGTATATTGAAGTTTCATTGATATGTCCCAGGGATAGATCAAAAAAGTGCTTTTGGCATGTGATCATATTTAATTCTCACAATTAGATTTTTCCATTGCCCCCTACAAGCTTTGCATGTGAGAACAAACAACACTCAGTTTAAGAAACATGATCCATACCCATAAGGTGTAATGTCATCAATCTTCAGGAAACAACTTTCCCCAGTGCATAGCCTGGGTGGACCCACCTCTCATTTATCCATTAAACATGAAAATCCTTTGTGTACCTCTTGGGTGCAAAATGCTATCTTAAGCAATTTTTTGCAACTTATAAAAATATCAGATTCAATAGAGGTTTCAAATATAGCTCTGGTCCTGACTACAAGTTTTTTGTTTTTGACTTGTGTGTTTGAACTGATGTGCTTCTCTGGGTGGGGACTTATCATAGGAAATTCTCAATTTTCACAGATAATTGATTGGGGCGGTTATATGCATTTCAGAAGGATTCTTTATTTTATGGAAGTATTCTCAATAATAGTTCGTTAAATAACAGGTTTTCCCTTGATCATTTAAAATATGAAGAAGTTGGAAGTTTTTATACCAAATTTTCCAGAAACAAGGTCAATTTGGAAACTAGTTTACACCTATAACAATTCATAATAAAGACAAGAGCTGACCTCAGCTGGGCCTCTATCTGACCATTAGTTTAGAGTCAAAAATATCAGACCTAGCATCTGCAGGTTTTGGTGAATATCAAGATTTATTTTCCCAGGAGGCCAGCATTGACCTCAGTCTCAGTTTGGTCGATATTTATCTCTTAGATCAATAAGTCTTGATGGTAGCTAAAACAAAAGTCAATAGCCGCCTGTTGACTCACACAAAGTTAGTGGATAATTTAGAAAATAACTTGGAGACATCTTATTTTGGGGGGCCTGGTACCAATTTAGGTGTCTAATTCTGTAATGGTTCCATGTTGCCCCAATCTCTGTAACACAGTGCTTCTTGCTGTGGTCCTAGGCCACAGAGCTCCCCAGCCCCTCTGTCTAGAAACCAATCTGACCACCTCCACTGACTCATTGACAAGAAGTGGGAAGACTCACAGGGAGAATCTCCATTTATTGGGCGCCTATTGTGTACCAGCTGCCACATTAGATTATTTATAGGCTCTGGGTGAAAAGCACGTATCTTTGTGCCTGCAATCCCCAGACCATTAACAAGTGGGAATCTTTTCTTAGGTTTCCAAGACAACATTGCATTTTGCAAGAAGTATGTACTCTAGACATTAACAGTAGTCAGAAGTTTTTAAAAAATGGTAGGACAAAAGAAGAAAAAGGTGAGGCCAGGCATGGTGGCTTACGCCTGTAATCCC